GTTTGTAAATGGGGAGGGGAGGAGGGGGTGAAGGGAGGGCAGGGACAAGGGGAAAAAATGAGAATCAAGACCTATTATGTAAAGGTACAGAATCCCAATGATGAATGTAATTGTATTGTATACCTAGATTGTACCAGTAAACTCAATAAAAAGAAAAGATATCAGGAAAAATGTCTTGGGTACAAGGAGCTACTGGCATTAAACAATATAAATGGACTACTCAAAGAACAGTGGACTTGAGCACTGGCCAAGTGTCCCACTCTTTCATGGTGATCCCAGAATGTCCATATCCTCTCTTGGAAAGGGACCTGTTAACAAAGTTGGGAGTCCGAATTCACTTTAAACTGGAAGGTGCCCACGTTCTTGATAAGACTGGAAGGCCTGTCCATGTATTGACTGTTCAACTTGAGGATGAGCATAGACTCTATCAAACACCCATTTCAGGCTCATTAACCCAAAAGGACATTACTTTCTGGCTTGAAAGTTCTCCCCAGGCCTGGGCAGAAACAAGAAGAATAGGACTGGCCAAACATAGGGCTCCGGTGTTCATTGAGATTAAGCCTGGCACTGACCCTGTTCGGGTCCACCAATATCCTATGCCTCTCACATCTCAGCAAGGCATAATGCCGCACATCAGAAGCTTGTTGAAACAAGGAATACTGAGGACATGCCAGTCAGACTGGAATACCCGCTTGTTGCCTGTAAAGAAACCTAATTCAGATGACTACCGGCCAGTCCAAGACCTACGAGAGGTAAATAAGAAGGTAACTGACATTCACCCTACTGTGCCTAACCCTTATACTCTCTTGAGCTCATTACCTCCCTCCCGCCAATGGTATACAGTATTGGATTTGAAAGATGCTTTCTTCAGCCTTCCTTTGGCCCTTAAAAGCCAAGCCATATTTGCCTTTGAATGGCTGGACCCAGATGAAAGAATTAATGGACAATTAACTTGGACTAGACTGCCCCAAGGATTTAAAAACTCACCCACCATCTTTGATGAGGCTCTACATGAGGACCTGGGTGGGTACCATCAGCAAAATCCTCATCTAACTCTGCTCCAATATGTAGATGACCTTCTCATTGCAGCAGAGACAGAGGAGGCTTGTTTGAAAGGAACAAAAAAAGTGTTGAAAACCATGGGAGACCTTGGGTATCGAGCATCAGCTAAGAAGGCTCAAATATGCCAACTCGAGGTAAGCTACCTGGGCTACAAGTTAAAGGCAGGACAGAGATGGCCATCAGAAGCCCGAAAGGAGACAGTGCTCAGAATCCCTCCTCCAGACTCTCTTCGCAAGGTAAGGGAGTTCCTGGGGTCGGCTGGATTCTGTCGCCTATGGATTCCAGGATTTGCAGAATTGGCCAGGCCCTTGTATGTGGTGACTAAGGGCCAGCAGACCTTCCAAGGGACAGAGACTTTACGTGAATCTTTTGAGAAAATCAAAGCCGCATTGTTGAGCACACCTGCTCTGGGCTTACCGGATGTAACCAAGCCCTTCCACCTATATGTGGATGAGAGCAAAGGGGTAGCCAAAGGAGTTCTGACTCAACATCTAGGACCTTGGCGAAGGCCAGTAGCATACCTGTCAAAGAAGCTTGACCCAGTAGCGTCTGGATGGCCTCCCTGTCTGCCAATGATTGTGGCAGTAGCACAAATGGTCAAGGACACAGACAATTTCACTACGGGGCACCAAATGTATGTGACCACACCCCATACCACTGAAGGGATAACTTTAATCAGCCTCCAGATCGATGGCTAACCAACACTCGGCTGACTCACTGTCAAGGCCTTCTCCTTAATCCTGCCCGAGTTATTTTTCAGCCTCCAGCTGCCCTGAACCCTGCCTCCCTGCTGCCCAACCCGGACATGGATGCTCCACTACACGACTGCAGAGACATACTGGCCCAGGTACATGGCATCCGGGCGGACTTGAGAGACCGACCATGGCTAGATGCAGAATTGACTTGGTACACCAATGGGAGCAGCTTTATGCACAATGGACACAGGTATGCAGGGGCGGTGGTGGTGTCAGAGACTGAAATAATCTGGGCTGAACCTCTCTCTGCTGGAACCTCAGCACAATGGGCAGAACTGACAGCCTTAACTTAGGCTTTGACTTTGGGAAAAGGAAGAGAACTAAATGTTTACAGTTAGTAGATATGCTTTTGCCAGGAGAGGGGGCTATATACCAGGAGAGGGTATACCATATACCAGGAGAGGGGGCTATTGACTGCAGAAGGAAAGACTATAAAAGATAAAGAGAAAATTATGGCTCTACTAAAAGCCTTATGGTACCCAAGAAACTTGCCATAATCCACTGCCCAGGCCATCAAAAAGGTGACACGCCCACAGCCAGAGGCAACAATCTAGCAGATTGAGCAGCTAAAGAGGCAGCCCTCCATGCCCCCAAGATTTTAGCCTTACAACTCCCTGATCCAGGAACCCTAGCTCTCCCAGAAAAAAGAGAATATTCTGACTCTTACATAACGTGGGTGAAACAGTTACCCACCACTCAACTAGTTAAACGATGGTGGAAATTAAGTGATGGAACTGTCCTCCTGCCTGAAAAACTGGGGGATCACTTGCTCTTGAACCTTCACTGATCCACTCACATGGGAGAAAGAAAAATGCAGAAACTGATCCAGCGATCTCAAGTCAAGATACAAAATATTTCCACCAAGGTCAAAGAACTCGCCTCATCCTGCAGAGTCTGTAAAATAACTAATGGGGCGCAAGCTAAGAGCGATCCAGGCCACCACCTGAGAGAAACAGACCTGGAGCTTACTGGGAGATGGACTTCACAGAGGTAAAGCCAGGGAAATACGGCTATAAATATTTACTAGTATTTGTAGACACCTTTTCAGGATGGACGGAAGCCTTCCCCACCAAACATGAAACTTCTAAGATGGTGACAAAGCGACTGATAGAAGACATCCTTCCCAGGTATGGACTCCCGGTGGCTTTAGGATCTGATGACGGGCCAGCTTTTGTTTCTAAGGTAAAGCAAGAACCAGTCCAGGTATTGAGGGCCAATTGAAAATTACATTGTGCTTATCAACCCCAAAGTTCAGGACAGGTAGAAAGAATAAATAGAACCCTAAAAGAGACCTTAACTAAATTAACCCTGGAGACTGGCAGTGATTGGGTGTCACTCCTCCCCTTTGTGCTGTATAGGGTGTGTAACACACC